CAAAATTGGAGTTCTCCAGTTGCAGCAACCCCGCAAGCACCACGACTGCGCGTACTCCAGCGGTCGCCGTCCTAAAACTCTGTTGGTCAGCTACGTATCTCTAGTCTCTTAAGCAACATATCTCGCTCTATCGATGTCTTTGACTGGCTACTTAGCTCACCCTCGAAAACCCAGACCGAAGGGGAATCGATACTCTACTGCAGCCAATTTCCAGCGCGTAGCACCGTCAAAATCGGAATTCTTAAAAGGAACGCGCAGTTCTTGGCTTAACGTAAGCCATATGGCCCCAACATAGCTTCCAAGAGCCTAACATGGATCAACATAGGCCCAGCATAGGCTCCATATACGCCCAACATTGTCCCGACATGATCCAAAAAGGACGAGTTTCTTTTGGGCCGGGCAAAGGCCTAAAAGGATTTCTAATTTTGAAGGTGTTACGCGCAGAAAGTTTGCTGCAATAGGGTGTCGGTTCCTCCTCAGTCCGGTTTCTAGCCAGTGAAACAAATAGATGGAGAAAAATATATGGCTGGAGAGACTGAAGATACGTAAGCCACCAGCAGAGTTTCAGGATGTTTGCCTCAAAACTTTCTGTGCAGTTGGGGCTATGCTACAACTGGAGGAAATCAATGTTGAAGGTCTTACGTGCAGTCAATTTGCTGTGCACAGGGGTTTTCATTATGAGAGCTGGCTTTCGTTTCCCCCGTCTCAGGTGAATATGAATAATTGCAAAAATATTAATGTATGTATATGACCGAAAGAAGCTTAGGAGTCAAACTATTGACAATGGAGAGATGGAAGAGCAGAGGCGGGAAGAGTCGGAGAAGAGAAGAGAAGAAGAAAGAAGATCAGAGAAGAGAAAGAGTGAGGGGAAAGGGGATGCAGGTGCGCGAAAAGGTAGAAAAGTGGCGAAACACTGTGTTTTTCCAATGATTTGTGTTTCCGGAGGGTCGAAAAAGTAGCCGCGCTAACGCGGCGGGTGCGGAGCCATCTGGCTAGATGAGAGATGAAAAATTGCACGCCGTCGTGGCGCGAAGCACATGTCGAAGTCAAAATGAGCAAATACTTCAATGTAGGACCACTTTTGGAAGTTGAGATGTCGAAAAAGTGCACGCCGTTTGGGCGCGAAGCACATTTCCAAGTCAAAATGTACAGAGCACCACATACCCGGACCACTTTTGGAGGTTCAGATGTGGTTTTGCGTGGCAGGGGCAAGGGGTTCTGCACCTTGCCAAAAGTGAGCAAAACGTGAGGGTTTTGTAGCAGCTTCAAAAACGTCGGCAGGCGTGGGACATTTGAAGGGGATCTGCAAAGATGCATTGCGCAATACAAGAGACATGTTCATCAGAGATGTTAGGAGGTCATGTTGCTGATTTCCTGAGGGGGGTTGCATTTTGGAGCATCAGATCTTCACGTTTGCTAAGATGATTTTGCGTGACAGGTGCAGCACTTCGTATGACCTGGCTTCACTTTTTCGTGGCAGGCACGGTACTCTAGACAGGAGGAGTGGAAAAAACGCAAAACGCATTGGTACGAGGCCGTCAGCTCTGCTTTCAACTTTCCATTTTTGAAGGAGGCTCGCAGAATTGATTCGTTTTTGATGTTGCCAACTTCAGACATTGAGGAAGCCTCGCAGAATTGCTTCGGTCATGATGTTGTCAAGTTCGAATTTTGAGGAAGTCTTGCAGACTTGCTGCTCTTCTGATGTTGCCAAGTCCAAACGTTGAGGAAGTCTTTCAGAATTGCTTCGTTTTGACGCTTGCACATAGACACGTCGCAGATAGATACACAGATAAATAGATAGATAGAAAGAAAGATGGATAGATAGATAGACAGATAGAATCAGATAGATAGACAGACAGACAGAAAGATGGCTAGATAGACAGAGAGGCAGGTGGCTAGATAGACAGACAGGCAGATAGAGAGATAAACAGATAGACAGATAGATAAAGAGAGAGAGAGAGAAAAAAAAAATATATATATATACGTAGACAGACAGATAGACAATTGCAACTACACTACACTCACTACAACTGCAACTACAACTGCGACTGCAGCTACAACTACAACTACACTACAACTACACGACACGACAACTACAACTTCAACTACACTACACTTCAACTACTACAAGTACAACCACAACAACTTCCACTGCCCTTCAACTACAACTACAACTACAAATACCATTGCACAACACTACAACTAAACAACAACAACACCGTCAACTACAACTACAACGACTACTGCAACTACCACCGCAACTGCAACTACAACTTCAACTACACTACAACTATATACAGTTACGACCACACTACAACTACAACTACCACTACGCTAGACTACACTAGGTTACAACAACAGCAGCTACTACACGACACTACAACTACAACTGAGGCTTCAAACGCCACTACACTACAACTACAACTAACACTAGCAGTAAACAAAACTACAACTGCAACTTCAACTACACTACAGCAGTTACCACTACACTACAACAGTTACCGCTACACTGCAACAGTTACCACTACACTACAACTACAACTACAACTACAACGCAACTACAACTACAACATACAGCTTCAACAACTTCAACAACACCAACTACACTACAACTACAGCTACAACTACAATTACATTGCACTTCGCTACACTGCACTGCATCCTGCAGTTGTGGGTGAGGTGACCACTGCAACCACTCCAAAAATCATAGCCACCTTTCTGTCCATCAGT